TTTTATCATATGCACCATCTGCCTTCCTAATCCCTGTCACCTCAGGTCTGTGGCAGTTACAGAATTGCTTACATGGTTGTAACTTAGCCCTGGGAGCAGAGGAGAGGAATAGGAATGTTGGCCCTGAAGTCTGGATACATGCCATGTAATTTTAAGCACTGGATGGACGTGCCTGAGTTAGGAGCTGAATCTTTCTGAGATTTCTTTAATTAAGACAAACGGATGTGTCTCTTGACTGTAGAAATCCCATGCTAAATTGAGTCCTCAGTTAAGGACCTGATTTAGATGGGATGAATGCAGACCTAAATATCTTCCAGCTGCCTCTGGTCCATCAACCAAAGCTGGTGTCCACAATACGTTTCTTTAGTAATAGATCTCTTTGCAAATGTACCAGATTTCAGAGGTTTTATATTTCTTTGATTGAAATGTTCTTAAGGTTTTGTGCGATGGGTAACAATGAGGAAAATTTCATTTAATGCAAAATAAATAAGAGTTTTCATCCATAAGCAAAGGATTTCTCTTGTATTCAGCACGTTTCTGATTTATTCTAGAAATTGGCCCTGCCTCTGTGATGGTGGGGAACTTGGTCTCTGGAAAAAGAATCGCACAGGCCAGTGGTAGAGACTTGGGGCAGATAGAAGATAACGATCAAGCCAGAAAGGTGAGTTAAGCTGCTCTGGTGTGGCTTATATGTAGCTAATTAGCATCAGCAGATTCAGCAATACACAGGGCATCACATCTGATTCAGACTAACTTATTTCAGAACCCACTTTACAAAGAAATGTGAAATAGCCAAAGGAAAGATCTGTATGTTTTGCATGTATGGATATATGGTCCCAATCTTGTCTTTTGTTATTTCGATCATGTTAAATTAAGTTGCAGCTTTATAATAGGTGAGAAATGAAGAATTTATAGTAAAACAAGAGAAGAAGCTAAAGGATGAAAATTGTGCTTAGATTCAGAGTGATTATCAAGAACTATTTTATGGCTTTGAAAGTATAGGTAATAATATATCATAGTCCCAGCTGTGGTTCAGCTGCCAGAGAGTGTGTGTAAGTGCAGGAGTGCTACAAGTATATGCAATGCCAAGAGAATTCCTATTTACTGTTTCTGGGTACTAATGCAAAATGTAGAGTATAAATAAGAAAGACATATCTAAACTAGCAAAACCAAATTGTGTTCTGTTCTCTAAAGGCAAAAGATTGTTTAGTATCGTGACTATCACTCTGCTTTATTTTAGTTCCTCTTTCTCTCAGAAGTTTTACAGTGGAGAGCGCAGACCACTCCTGACCATGTACTTTACACTCTACTCAACTGCAGGGTAAGGTTCTCAGGCAATTATGTTGACAAGTTATCGAAAGGAAAATTGCACCCTGATATTTAAACTGCACTTGCTTACGCTGTGGCTGAATGTGACTCAACCTTTCCATTTCTTTCCCCATTAATACCAGCTATTATATCTCATACTCACTGAGGCAGAGAGGAAAAGCGAATTATCATTGGCAGTTGTCAAAATATGACTTGTTTTTGTATCACACATATCACCTTATATATTTGTTATTTCTTTTCCCCCATATATAAGTTTTGGGTGAACTGACAAGGCAGTTCTGTTTCAATTCTTTCATTCCGACAAGAATAGCAGTATTTAATACTGCTCACCATCCTGATTTGAAAAGCACAAACTTAACAAAACCAAAACATTTTCCCTAAATATAACAATGAGTCTTGGCTTTGAAACTGGGCCATATGAGGAAAGATGTGTGTGAGAACTGGGGAATTGAGGTAAACAGGAGAAGAGGTAACTCCTGAATTCAGCAAGGTCTGTATAGGACTAGTCATAAATCTCTCTGCATGGAGGTATGAGGTGCCAGCCTGGCACAACATTTCCCTACTATATGCATGGCACCTGGTACACAATTGGAGTTTATTAGGAATGAAAATTGTCTGCTAAAGCAATGCTTCCCAAACTGCTTCTGTGTCTGAAATAAATTTATGCATGGCACCTGGTACACAATTTGAGTTTATTAGGAATGGCTGATTGTCTGTTAAAGCAATGCTTCCCAAACTGCTTCTGTGTGGAGCAGGAAAGTCTGATTTCAAACCACCCCGCTGCAGTAAGTGTGGACATGGCTGCCAATGCTGGGAGACACATCTGATGTGTGGAGGGGTTGAGAACTCCAAATCGTCCCTGCTCTTCCCCTTTGCTGCCTAGAACTGCTGCTGTTTGCTGGTGGTCCCTAAACTTACAGGATTCCCATCATTTATGAGTCTGTGTTAAATTACCAGGATGTACCTCCCCACACATTGTTGTACTACTGATTCAAAAGTACAGTTTGGGACTACCATTAAAATATTTGTTTAATGATCCTTTTTTTTTTTAATTCACATAGCTACCATTAAGTGAACACTTCAACTTTACAGATAATAGCAAATTAATAATTTAGTTGCCTGTGGCAAGTCGGAGAAGCGGTTTTGTTTGCATTGCAGCATTGCCAGTAGAAGAGAGCACTCTGCCTTTCTCTAAGCTCAGAATAAAGGTGCTCTGAGCAAGGTACAGCAATATCTACAGTCCCGTCTCTTCCACACAGGCTGTTGCTGTTGAGCTTTAAATAATGCCAGACTTCCCATCCTGGCAAATGGATGCCAAGAGGGGGAGGGAAGACACAAGGCAGAGAATGAGGATTATTGTTCCTTAGAAATGGAGAATAGATGAATTGGAAATGGAGTTTCTCCGCCTCCTTAATACTCTTATTTTATTAATACTCTTATAGTACTCTTCTTATTTCATCTCGCCAGTTGAAATTTGTTTCAGAGGTTTGATGTTTTATGGAAGGAACTGTCAGGTTGGTGGGGAAAATTTATAATCAATCTTGAATTTTACTACTGGTCTGTAACTTTTCCCTTTTTGTCTTCACTGCACATTTTACCTACACGTTGCTCTAAAGCATCCACCCTGCTTGCCAGTGGTGGCTGACAGAAATCTACTGAGCTTCCTATTCTCCTGAAACCCAAGGTTTTTGAGAATGTGAAAGATTTCTAAAATTAGCACAGTGCATTGTTTCCAGTGTGTTTGATGGAGGATTGCAACACCTCTGGGCTCTGTAACACTTCTTGAGAGAGGTGCAGAGGGGATAGTTGCCAGTTCCTCTGGTGTAACAGCCCAGCTCTTCCTTGCACTTCACGCTGGTGCAGGGAGTGGCAGAAGTCTCAAACCTGGACCATCAGTTTGCAGACCTACGTGATCTGCAGCAATTCCCTTTCCCTTGGGAGCTTGGGATTCCTTTGCATTTGGGGAAATAAACGGCCCTTCTTCCCATGACTGTGAAAACAGGCAATATTGTTTTAAGGCAAAACAGGGATGCAAGCATGTTCCTGCTGGCAGGTCCACAGTGAGAGGGATGCCCAGATCTGTGTTTGCAGCATCCAGAAGCCATCTGCAGTGAGGAGTCTGTATCATGCATGTGGCTTTAGAGGAAGCTCCTTGCCTAGGAGGATGGATTCACACTGGCTTGCAGCTCAGGGCAACAAACAGAAGTGTGGTTGCTGAAGATGGCAGAGAGCACTGCTGGGCCCCTGGCACTAAGTTTTCAATTAGGTTGTGCTCTGTGTTGACAGGGATTAGGTTGAGGTATTAAGTTTGTAAATGCCAAGATACACCTGATAAGTCACCTCCTTGGTGCTAGACCTTATCAAACAGCTCTCTGCTCTCCAATGCTTTTCATCAATAAAAGCTGTGGTGGAGAGGGAGATATTCATGGGGAAGAGAAATCAGCAATGGAGCCAAATGCTTGTTTTTTCTTAGTACTTGTTTAGAGGGAGTATAAAGAATATTTATTTAAAACAGAAGACTCCGGATAAGGACAGTGATAGGAAGCTTTTGGAGGTTATCTTTTTGATGCATTGTATGTTGTATATCCCCATGCAAGCCTTAAATATATTTTCCTACCATTTTTTTCTCAGTTTCTTCAGCTCGTCTTTTTTTTTTGAGCAAATTCAGGGTTTGTGATTAGTGCCAGGTGTTCTGTAAGGACTCCGGAGGCTGAAAGGCTCTTCCTGTGCAGAGCAGGCACAGAGAGGCAGGAGAAATGCCGGCCTTGCCCTGGGCTCTCTCCTCACGCAGCCTGGGCCTGGCTGGATCAGCTCAGGAGCCGTCTTCTAAGCACGGTCCCTCTTGGACTTCTCTTCTGCAGTGTCAGCTGTCGAAGTGAATTTTGTGACACAGACTTGTGCATTCATCTGTGTGTCTATAGACGCACATATATGTTTTTAGGGAATGCAAGAACCAGTTTAAATCACTGTGTGATAACTTTGGGTTAGCTCTGCTTGGGCTGCTTCACAAAGTCAGGCGTTGGAGCCTTTGTAGACTTTCCCTTTCTTTTCCATTCTGACCAGAGTTGCACAAATTCAACAAAAGCCCCTCTTTTCTGTCTCATTCATATGCATGTGCCTCATTTTTGTTCCAAGCTTTTTTTTTTCCCCTGTCACCATGTATTGTTTTTCTCCTGTGTCTTTTGTCTTTTAAGGCTTTTCTGCTGTGCTTTTTGGCCTCCTTCCAGAATGCAGACAATGAAGTGCAATTTGCAGGATTGCTCTCCTCATCTGCTTCAGATTGCTGCAGAAGACTGTAAATTCACTTTCCAGGCTGGAGCAGGGAAAAGCAAGGGAAAGCAGTAGCTATTACAGAGCCTTGGTATTAATATACTACTGCCAAGTCCCTGCTTAAGACAGAACACCGTTGAGGTTTGAAGATATGGGGAGAAGAGTGGGGCATGTTTCTGTGCTCAGCAAGGTTCATTTTTCCTTCCAGATTGACATAAGGTTTCCTTAGTTAAGTTGTTTGATGTATTGAGGCTTTATAAACAGCAACACCACGTCCAGAAGTTACATGTAAACTGAGGAAGAAAAACAGAGTTCACCACACTGTGTTATCTTCATTGCCATGACATTTCTCTTACTTCTGCATGCAGGGAACAATAGCCAACTCACTAACGTGTGTCCAGCTGCATAAACGGGCCGAGAAGATCGCTGTCATGTTGATGGAAAGGGGGCATTTACAAGACGGAGACCACGTGGCTTTGGTTTACCCACCAGGTAAAGAGCAGCCAGGGTTGGGATCTTGATGATCCCCAAGGTTTGGGATTTAAGAACTTTTAGGCTGGCATCTCACTGATGGTATTGTCCACCAGTAAACCAAGAACACAAGTAATAATTGGCAAAATGTGATCTGTTTGCTTCATGTTCGTTGCTTTGAATTTAGTGAAACATTTTTAAAGGAAGTTCTCTTTTGTATGTGTGTGTGTATGTGTGTGGTATTATTTCTTTGGATTTAGATTAAGATTAACTGTACTTTTAAAATATCTTTAATATAAGTATTCAAATTTAAGCGGTAATATACTCTCTTTTTTATTTATTTAATTTGCTGGAAATCGTTTTATTGAAGGAGCGATAACCCGCCAGTACTCCGGATTCTTTTCTACTCAAAAAAAGTCAAGCAGTCCCCATCGTTGTCTTACAGTAGCCTACGGATAGATTCAAGGAACTAGGAAAGAGCAGAATTTATGTAATCTTGGTCCTGTGGTCACTTCAGCTTCCTAACATGACCTGAAGTATGCTGTGCGCAATCTGGAACCTACAGTCAACATTTATATGAAATGACAATTTTGTGTTAGAAACATGGATGGGAAATCATGCCTCCATTTTTTTTTTCTTGAAAATTTCAGCTATCTGAGGTTAAAAATGGCATGAGAAAGAAAATATTAAGTGAAATGTCAATGTATTCCTTATACAGCTCATAGGAACCAACAGGGTGCTACCTCATTCTTTCACTGGAGGATCACTCTTTTTGAAACTCTTACATATAAAAGTAAATTTAGGAATATAGCTAATCTGTAAAAATCGGTATTTTTAACAGGTAACTTGGGGATCATGCAAGTGGCCTCTCTACCTGAGTGGTGATGCGTGGTTCCAGCTGCGTGTCGCCTTTGGTATTCCATGCTCAGGAGAACAGTGCTATGGAAGGGAATGAGTGAAGCTGAACACATGCTGGAAAGGGGCTGAAAAAGCAGTCTCTTAAAGGGCTTAGTCTCTCATTTAACCTTCTGAGTGTGGTTCCAAGTAATATTTATGCTGACATAGGTGTATGCAATTAAAGGGATTGATTTTCAGGGAAGATTTTTGTTTTGTTCTTCATGCAGGAATAGACCTGATTGCGGCATTCTATGGTTGCCTGTATGCGGGCTGTGTGCCAATAACAGTTCGACCTCCGCATCCCCAGAACATAGCGACGACGTTGCCTACAGTGAAGATGATTGTGGAGGTGAGCAAGGGCTGCAAGTGCACGAGCAGGTTACACCGGCAGCGGAGCCCTCAGCAACTGCAGCTTAAAGGAGTGCTGTGGGTCAAAGATTCGTATTCGGTCTAAAGACTCAAGACTTAGGTTGCAGAGTCAACATTATTTGCCAACAAACAACCCTCCAAATTTCGCTGTCAATTTATACCTCAGTCATGCAACTGCTTTAAGGAATTATTTTGGAAATGCTTTCTTTTGTTGAGCTGTTGGCCAAGAGAGATGGGATTCCTCACCTGGCAGCTCTATACTGACCACTGAGAAAAGCACCGTGGAAGGCTTAGCTTGACCACATGGAGATTTGTGCTCAGCTTTGTGCATTCAGTTATTTTGCAGCTTGAAGCCATTTCAGAGTTCTGTTGTGAAGACATTGCTTGGTTTGTTGTGTCATCCGGAGAGGTGCTACTCAGGCTTTTCCATTTAGTACTTTATTTTGGCTATATCTCATCATGCTTAGTCTTGTTGCACATAAATCATAACCACATTGAGTATGTGAGCAAGGGAAATAAAATGGGTGCAAAGAGATAGACACTTATATTGGATAGCTTCTATTCTATTAAATGGACTTCTGAGTCTCTGAAATAGAAGAAGGTTAAGCAAAGGTAATTTTGACATTTTAAGTCAATATTGATAATTTAAAGTTGGAAGAACTAGGGATAATTATAATCTGTGGCTTTCTTCCTAGCATCAGATGCCATAAAATATCAGTAGAGGTATCAGAAGGTAGCCTGTTAGCTTCAAGGTTCTCATTTTTAAATATTTTCTTGCTGACAACTTTAAACTTTAGTATTTAAAAATATTAAAAGTGATATAAAATGTCTTATTTTATTTTTCCTTTGGGGGCCTAATAACCAAACTAGGTGTGGTTGAATTCATGTCTGAAAAATCCTTGGACAGGTCTAAGCTGCCTTGTAATCATTCTCTTCAATAGGCTGACTTCAAATGAAGTATCGAAAATTACCAGCCACATTAATGCCAGTTTGACTTAAAAGCCTCTCGGCCCTGATTCACACAAGGATTTTCTTTCATTTTGGAGAAGGATGACCTTGTAGAAATTAAAATACTGAAGCTGTTCCTTCACTGCCAATGAAATGCTTTAAAGCTCCTGGTGTGATGGGGTCAAAGCCCACTCTGACATACTATATATCAACACAGCACCTTTTCGAGTCAGTAAGAATTGCTTCTAGGAGCAAAATTTAGCCCATATAATTGTGTTTTGATGATGAATTGGTAGCAATAAAATATAACTGGACATTATCAGGCTTCAATCTGTGTTGGTAAGAGGACTAATTTAGTACAGACCTAAGTATAATTTGATTTGACAGCAAACATAAGCAGGATGACAGGAAATAATTTTTATCCCATCTGGAGCAGTTGCTAACTGTAGTTCAGTCCCATTCCTTCTCCTTTCCACCTTCCCTGCTGTTTATGGCCCACTTTCTGTTCTCCTGGCCTGGAGATACTGTGTTTTGTTCTGAGCCTCCTGGTTTTCCAGACAGCATTATTTCTAGGAGGGCTAGCAGCTCTTGAAATTCTCTTCATTTTGTGGCTTCACTGTGTCTGAGATTGAGATTCAGATAGATAAAGATTAAGGATTAATTTGCCTTATCATGGCAGTGGCAAGACTGGAGTGAAAGATGGTGCAGTGAACCTTGGTTTCAGCTTTCTACGCTTTTCGCCTGAAATATATGGAGTGTCCGTACAGGGAAATCATGGAGTTATAAAAAGTAAGGAGAACTTGAGTCAGTGGTCACATGCTTTTAATTTCCTCATTTACTGTATAAAGTTGACCCATAAAGTTGACCCCCAGGAAGTTACTGTCTACAGAGGCTGATTTCTTCTGCTCAAGTGGTAAAATTTAGTGCACATAAGGTTCCTGATTTCCTTAGGCTGCTAAAACTTGGGAATTCACTGTGCAATGAAATGTCTCCGCTTCTCAAAGAAAAAAATATTCTTAGCAATATTTCTGTACACAGATTCTCAAACTTTGGATACCTTTTCCATTTTTCCTCTTCACTATTATTAATTCAGTGATTAAATGTACATGTTTATGCTTGTCTGGATATTTGCTTTAATATATTGAGTTATTTTTTTACAATCAGTAACAGATATTTTTGGTAATTGCTACTTTATTTATCTGTTTTTAATAGATATTCTCAAATGATGATGCCTTCAGCATATACCATCTAAAATTCAGTGCAGATGGTAGTTGCGGTAAATTTGCCATTCCATTTCATAGTGTTATTTGCAGAATTACTGGGCTAGAGCTACTTATGCCAATATACAAAGAAGGTTTCCCAGTGCTTTATCATGAGCAGAGGAATCAGAAATATATGGCTAATATATAAAATTGACTTAAGACAGTAAAAATGCTCATATAAGTGTCAAGTTAGCTTTTGGTTTATGTTAAATAGTGTTTATAAACCAAGATATATTTCCATCACATTGAAAATGTTCTGGTCACAGTCTAATGTACTGGTATCCTAGGTTGATAAGTGATGTAATGTGTTGGAAAAGTCACATTCTCCATATTACGGTACCATTAGTTTCACTGCAACAGTCTTCTCAAAGTGCAGTTTCCATGCAGCTCGTAAAAGTCACATGATTTTGCTTTGGGAGCTTCATTTTCTGTGCATCCTTTTGCTTCCCAATCGGAAAACATAAACACTAATAAGCCTGTGTCCTCTTCCGGCAGAGAATAAATCATGGGTTTGTTCATTTTCATTGAAGAATTAATCAGTATCCCATTGTGTTATTATTTCTTTGTTAAATTCCTAGGTGAGTCGCTCTGCCTGCTTAATGACTACACAATTAATATGTAAATTGTTACGGTCGCGAGAGGCGGCAGCAGCAGTTGATGTCAGAACGTGGCCTCCAGTTCTAGATACAGGTGAGTATTAAGGCAAGGGGGGCTGCTGTTGGTTCTTTTGTTTTGTTTTATCGCTCAAGTTTTCAGAGCCTAAGATCATCATTTTCTTTATTTTCACTAGACGATTTGCCAAAGAAGCGGCCTGCACAGATCTACAAACCTTCTAACCCTGAGACGCTTGCTTACCTTGACTTCAGTGTCTCCACAACTGGAATGCTAGCAGGGGTAAAGGTAGGCCCTCTCTTAAAACTAGTATTTCTGCCATTGCTCTTCGGTGACAGATTGCTCCTTATTTGTGATTTCTATTGATTCTGATAATAGAAATGGAATGGCTTCCTCTCTTGCGTTCATTATTCAGTTCAATTAACATTAAATTAGCTTTTCTATACTGACAATTGTACTGTGTGCAGGGAGTTTGATGCCTGCTTTTCAGAATGAAAATTTTGCTCTGATTACCCTGTATACAGCCCAAAGCATTCTTCAATAGAAGTATCTAGTTTTTCCTTAACAGGAATAAGATTCAGTCATCCCCTTTGCAGTCACTTGTTGCAGTGCTGGTCAGCAGTTTGTTCTTCATTTGCTCCTTACTGCAATTCAGCTACTGGCCATTGGATTTCAATATTCTCTTCATGTGGTTAAGGGACCACAGACACTGGTGATATATGATTTCAATATTCTCTTCATGTGATTAAGGGACCACAGACACTGGTGATATATTTACCTGCTACAATACTAGAGGAAACAAAATCATTTATGGATTTGCATGATAAACACCTGCTACAATACTAGAGGAAAAGAAAAAAATCATTTATGGATTTGCATGATAAATACTGGCATCTAAAGCTTTGTAGATCTCTTGTCTGTCATTTTCTTCAGTCCTTCAGCCATAATATTTTGAAGCTGTTTTTCTCTTGCTGCTAGCATATGTATTATTCCAGTTTTGTTTTCACCAACCTGTAGGTGTATGTATTACTCCAGTTTTGTTTTCACCACCAGTTTTGTTTTCACCAACCTGTAGGTAGAGATAAAATCACTTTCTTACTCTTATGTGTTACTTCCATACTTCTGTCTACTATATGTCCAAGGATTATGATGACTTGAACATTTTTTGTTGAAGTATCATACTTGTAGCTTTTGCTAAAAAACTCTTAGGCTCTAGCATATCCATCTATTTTCAGAAGCTGTTGACATACTTTGCAAATAAGGAAAGCCTCAGATATCCCTGGTTTTCAGGTGAGAATCTGAAGCACAGAGTGGTATAAGTTAACATGCCCAAGGTTGACTAGCAGTTAAGGGGCTGAGCTGGCTGATGGTTACATGTCAGACGCTCCTGGAAGATTCATTTCAGCTAATCTTAGATAGCTGCAAGCCTACAAATGTGGATTGGTCACTAGGCTCCTCTATAATCATCAGAGAGAAACAGGGTCTTCTACCTATTTGAATCATCTATTTGGAGACCAGATGGATTATCATATATGCCTTTATTGCCTCTAAAACCAGTCTGTAACGACTGTTTTAGATACAGTCGTTCATTTTTAATCAAGTCTGAATCCCACCTTCTCAGACTGGCAGGAATGACTTCCAGCTATGCAAAGTCAGTATTTGGACAGCTTCAAAGATAGTCGGTGTAGATAGTTGGTGACGATTCCGCCTGTCAAAGCCAGGTAAAGGTGAAGAACATTTGCTTAATGTGAAATGCAGATAAATCTCTTGTGGGACTCTTAATTATCTTTGGGTATCTGGGTCACAAAGCCTCTAGATTACAGACTCAGCAGGTTTTTATAAATATGGTTCATCTGCTAAATCATTGTTAGTGATTAATTAATTATAAAAAGATCATCAGAAATTTTAAGGCATATGATAATGCAGTGGTGATAAATTAAAGAGATGGATAAACATTCTTTAGCGGTATCTGAAAAGTAGATAAATGTTTTGTTACCATTTTGGAATGTTATATTCTTTATGTTTACTCTCAACATTTGCACTGGCTTGGACCCTGTATGGTGTAAACTTTGCACAATAACACTAGTTTTTGTCCTGGAGACTTCAGTTTAATCCTGTGTGAAAAACTGGTCTTTCAGTGAAAGTAAAATTAATTACTTCAAACTGCAGATGTTCACAGTGTGGACACCTGGTTTGGGTTGGTCTTTGTACAGCACTTGGAATATGTCCAAAGTCAGTTATGGGGAAAAAAAATGACTTTGAGAGTTTTAATCCCCTGATTTACTTCAGGATTGGAGAAATGGTGCTTTCCAGGTGCCTGCTCCCCTCCACTGGCTACAATGGCATGTCAGGCAATGCACTCAGTAAGCTGCAGGGATCAGAGCTTAGGTGAGCTAAACCTTGCCCAGGCTGTCTGCCTAACACAAATACCTTCCTTGTTATCAACAGAAAAGACAAATATTAAGAGGTGTAAGTTGGTTCCCACTGTAGTTAGAACTTCTAAGCCAGAACAGGTGAGTTTGTGGGAAACCTGCTCACAGCTGCATTCAGGTGCTGTCAGTAACAAAAGTTAAAGTGGCTAGAAAAACATCTGAAGAATTCCTTCTCCATCAGCTTTTTTGTTTCTTCTTTCTGTTGTTTTTGTCTCTGAGAGCTTCCATATCAACATTTGAAAGATTTAAGCTTCTAAAGCTTAAGGCTCAATTAGGAGCTGGCCAGTGCAAAGACACTTTACAATTTTATTGACAAAAAATTGTTTCTTTATTGTATTAAGAAAAGTCTGCATGGAAATATATTATTGATGATAACAGAATATTTCAAAGTGCGTTCAGAGTCTACAGCCATTCGTTCCTTTATTCTTCCCACACGTTTAGCTCGTCGTTAGCTTTGCATCCTGCTTGGAGCTCCCGTGTGAGTCTCTCACAAAACCTTCCCTAGCTCACTTCAAACATTCCCTCTCTCTTGCCTTCCCTTTCAAGCTTATTTAGATGACCTCTTGAAGGAAAGCCATGTTTTCTTAGGTATAAATTACATGCATGCCTGCATGGAGCACAAAGTCAATATTTACTTGTTTTCTTTATCCGGCAACTGATTTAAAAACTCGGCACAGTTGGGAAATGAGCCGCCTGCGGGGCCTCGTCGATCATTTTAATGCCTTTGCTGTTGTCTTTCAGATGTCTCACGCAGCCACTAGTGCCTTTTGCCGTTCTATTAAGCTGCAGTGCGAGCTCTATCCCTCCCGAGAAGTTGCTATCTGCTTGGACCCCTACTGCGGCCTCGGCTTTGTCCTCTGGTGCCTCTGCAGGTGAGGTTTCTCCTCGACCCTTTAAAATAGGATGTTGAATCAAACAAAAGCAGGATGATGTGAGGGCTAAAAGGATGGGGAAAGCAGAGAATGCCCCTGGAACCAACACAGGCGATTGGAGCTGCCCAGAGCTGTACAGAGAGGCCCTTTGCTTGCACAGGGCACTGCCTCGGCTGTTGAGGGCTTGCTGGAGTGCAGAGCAACCGTGGGGCTCTGCACTGACCCGGGCTGCTCCGTGGCCTCACTGCTGGGGCTGCCTCATTCCGTCTGGTGAAGACAATACCCTACCTTAAGCAAATCCTTTCTTCTTTTTCATTGTCTGATCTGAAAGCATGAGTGAATATTGGGCACGTCCTTATTAGTGGATGCAGTTTCTTTTTTGGAGAGGCATAAAATATGGTTTTATTACAGAAAGATACTTGAATGGCAGTAGTAAAGCTACTAGGAAAAAAAACAGTGAAATGTGTATCAGCCATTTTTTATTAATAGGAAGCTAGAAACATAACAGTTCTCTCAGTCTCTGCACTCCAGGGATGTTACAGTTCAGCACTGAAAGTGGTTGCATTGATTTTTTTCCCCTTCTTTTTTTCTTTTTTATTTTTTCTTAATGTTTATGTAAAGGGGAAGAGCTATGGGAATAGTCAGCAAGCATATTTTTACTGAGGCATGTTAGAGTTGCAGTAACACAAAATTTTGCTCACTCCAATGAAAGCTCTTCAGTATTATCAGTATGCCGCTTTTAGTTGCTCAAATTAAGATAACCCAAGGCAATAAAAAATATTACTCTGTATAAACTTTTTGCCAGTTTACTGATTCCCCCATGAAAGCCTCATTTAACAACTTTAACACTATGTTCTCAACAAGTACTATTTAGAAGTATTTTAATGTCCTTACTCTTTAAAATATATGTTATTAAGTGCAAAATGCCTCCCAAATTATCAATATGACCCTATTCATTCTTGGCCAGTATTTATATTGATTTATTAGAATCTAGATTTATTTGGAATATTAGTCCAAATTTTACATAGTGATTAGAGATTACTTTGTTCTGAAAAACTACAATATTTCAATGGGTTATCTCCAATACAAAATAGAAATATTGGGACTACAAAAAAACTCAGAAAACATTTTACAAATCAGGTGAGGATCTCTATATAAGGTAAGCTTTTAAAACATTGATACCTTTAAGTCATCTGACTTTTCTCTTGCAGAGAAATGTGTTGCAGTGTGGCCTAGTTTTGGTACTTTTAGGCCTTAGTTTAGCTGTGGGGCCAGAGTCATTGGCCATGTTGAATCTAACATGATGCATCCAGCAACTTAACCCCAGGAGAAGATTGTCAAAGCAGGAGGGGAGAGTTCAGCTGAGGAGCTTATTTCTCTATGGGAAAACGGGGGACCTGGGGCATCCAAGCATCATTATAGATCAGCAGAATACAGATGAAATGTTGGCTTGTCCGGAAAGCGAGACTTTTGTGGTGTCTACAACTCTCCCTTCCTCTCACAGAAACTTGTGTTTGTTGTAAACATGTGCAACAAATAATAGTGTTGCCCTTATGTCCTTCTCAATGCTGCTAATAGTCAACCTTTTGCTAGGGAAGACTGTGTGTAGCTGCAGTAAGGCAGTGAGCGCATGGGAGAAGGCAAACAATCAAGGTCTGGGCTCTTTTGTGGCTCGTAGAAGGAATGGAAAATTTTATGTTATTTTCAAAGAAGAGGAAGGAAGAAAAGGAGGTTGAAAGAACTGAGATCGGGACAGGCACACTCCAATCTCGTGAGCCACCGTGTCCATCTCTGCTTTGCCACTGATCTCCTTTTCCAGTAAAACCAGAGAAATTGCAGCCTGCTTCAGTAGCCTGTCGTTTAGAGAAAGCTGCCGTCAGATACAGCTTCATGAATTCCACTTACTTACAAAATTAACTTCCATTTCATTGCTACTTTACAATGAATTATGTTTGATATGTTTTTTTAATGGCATAAAATGCATTACAAGGTTACTAGATACTTGCTTTCTGCAACTTAAAACTTTGTAACTTTGTATTTGACTCTTTGTAATTGAGAATACCATAATACTTCCCAATATTTTGGGAAGTGCTGTCCCTGCTTGAGCAGGGGGGTTAAACTAGGTGATCTCTAGAGGACCCTTCTCAACTATTCTGTGATTTTAGAGCCTAGATTCTACCTCAGAGGGATTTACTGTCGAGTTGTGATTGTCTGTCATCACTCCCACTAACTAAATTAATGCTTCTAATGGCATATGGAAGTAAAGCTGGATCTTCCAAGTTTTGAGCAGCTTTTGGATTTTGAGGTTTAAATAGGAATTCTTCACTTGAGGAAAACAGAAGGAAGGGAAAACAACCTCCTGTGCCTGGTGCAGTTAAAATGGCAAGCAGGGAAATCTTCCTGTAAATTATTTTTCCACACTATCTAGACCAGAAGAGGCATGAGGAAGGAGCTAAGCAGCTATCCCCGTTGTAGGTGCTTAGCTGCTGTGCTGGCTTGCTGCTCTACCGTGCTCCAGAGAGCAGCATTCTGTGAGCTCAGAGCTGCCATGGAGCCCTGTGGAGCATGGAGCCAGCCCCTTCCTTGGTAAGTATGGGGCACATCATTGCATAGTTTTGCAAAGTGGTTTTTTAAATTATTATTATTTTATGTCACAGAGAGTGTAAAATAATAGAGAAAATAAACCTTGCAAAGGCAATACATGTTAAAAAAGAAAAAAAGGGATTGCCCAGTTTCCTCCAAACTGGCTGCATGCTCCAGCAGGGTGTCCTTGGAATCACAGAACAGCCCCAGCCTGAAGCAGCCTAAGTTAGGTGTGTGCCCAGACAGCTTCTCTGTGGCCTGTCCTGTCCTTTCTGCAAGCTCTGATCCAAGTGAATATGAAGGCTTTTGCTCGTATGTTTTGATTCCCTCAGGATACCAAGGCTCTTTACAGGCTTCAAATAGGTCTAGTTTTTATGTGCATGGCAACTACCAAATGCTAAATACAAATATCAGATGCTCGTCACCTAGTATCCAGCGTCTCCTGTAGAAATACAGAGAAGAAATTCATAGCTCTAAGAAGGGTCAGCAGTACCTACCTGGCTCCTGCATTTCGGTTGAAAAGCAGCTGGTATCAACTGAGAAAGGCAACAAGGAGTAAGGGCAACAGCATGTTACTGGTCTGCCAAAATACAATTCCAAATTGGAGTTGCCATTTGTCCGCATTAATTACCCTGCTGAAATTTCTGGAACTGTAACAAAGCCTCGGACTTTATTGTTAATCCTCCCCAACACAACATGGGGTAAATCTCTGACTCAGTGGATCAGCTAATTGCTGAGGTAACTGCCAGGCCTCCCTGCCGGCTGCCAAGGCAGCACGCGGCCCAGCGGCCCTGGGGCTGCGATCAGATGGCACCGGGACTCCAGGATTCATCCTCGGGCATTCAGCTGCGGTATTCCTGGGCAGCCCTGTCCCGGAGGAGACAGACAAGGCTTTTCAATAACTGCATGGCCCTTACATGGCCCTGCCCACCCTCACAAATGAAGGTCTCTGGCCTGTTCAAAGCAAGGATTTGTTGTGAATACTTTTTTTTTCCTCAAATTGCTTTGCAGTCCCCTAAGGAAAGGGGTTATTTCTAAAGGATGATCTCCCACCTCAGCTACCACTTCCTTTTACTCTGCATCTGCATCCAGTCATTTTGACAAGATGGGACAGTGGCGCTCTATAGAATCACAGAATCACAAAATGGTTGAGATTGGAAGGGACCTCTAGAGATCATCGAGCCCAACTTTTTTCGTCTGCTCCCTTTCTTTGCTTGCTCCTTTTGCACTTTGTAGAAATGATGGAGGCTGATAAGCAGGTGTCCAGATCCCTCAGTTATTCCCTGCAGTTCTGTGCACAGTGAGCTGTGTCTTCTGTTATAAGACTGTTACATCAAGAGATTGCATCTGTTGCTTTCGGTGGCAACAGATTTCTGCAACAGGGGAGGAAAGTTTCTTGCTTTAGCTCCCAATGTTTAAATAACTAAAACTTGATTTTTGTACAGATTCCAATGCCTCAAATGCCATTACTAGAATGGCAAATTTAGCTTCCACAATTTATATTTAAGTTGCCAGGATTGACTCTCAACCTGCAGAATTATTTCCTCTGACAGTAAATGCTTGGAACTACTACTCCCACAGCGAATATATTTTCTTAATGTCCCCTCTGCGCTCCCCAAAGACACAACATTCAAAACAGTTTTGTTATTTCTAGTATGAGAAGGATAGTGGCTTAACCATCTCTGGATGGCTGCCTTGTTTCAAGAAGGTGAAATGAAAAAAGTCCATTCATTCCATGCCGCTGTTTCAGAATTAACAAAGAAAAGTCTCCAACGTCTCTACCCTGCATTGGGCAGTGCTGGAATGTGCGATGGGAAAGGTTCGTGTCTGTTGGGGACCACGTTTAGCTTTATCCATGACCCTCCAGAGGAACCTTCGTCAACTTCAGCCTATTCAAGAGCATGGCCTCGGCTTCACTGGTGGCATCCACATTAAGCAGATACCCTCTAACCTCTCCAACTGATTTGAGCATTTGAGCCTACAAGGGAGCATTTCTCTTCAAAACACTGGTGACATTCAGCTTATCTGGGGCTAACGTGGAAGGATAGCATCTGCATTTGCAAGGATGCATGGCTGGGAACATTTTGCTGCTTGCAGTGGTTCAACAAAGCCAGCCCAACATTTCTGAGATGTGTTCAGGGAGGTGAGCCAGGCCATGGCTGGCCAGGGTGACCAGATGCTGCAGAAAACAGCTCAGCTGAGGAGCTGGGGTGTCTCTGAGCTCCCTAGACTGCTCCTGCAAATCAGATGATGTATGTGGCTAATTCGACCACACTAGATAGGCAAGGCCTGTGCTGGTCATCCTATTTCCAAGCATGCTCCTGGTTTTGATACGACAAGAATAGCACACACCTGAGATTCTGCCCCACAGGAAGTTCCTATCCTACTAGACATTTTTTGCTGCACTGAATTTTAGTTCGGAGCTCTCCTGTGTTTCTGGGGGGTTATAAAGATTTCTGTGCTCAGAAAAGGTTCTATCAAACTCTTAATTTGCTTCTATCTAATTAAATTGGTTTCTGCAGTCCGAGCCTGTGGTTATCTAGCTTGCTTATGAAAATGCTAGTTGCAGTCTCAAGAAATAGCCAAATGCAGGTGCCTTCATGCTGTGTTGTTGGTGGTAGGAATCTTAGAGAGAACAAAAATATGTTTATTACTTGTCCAACATAACTTGGATCAAGGAGAAGAGCCACTTCACCCACTGACTAGTGTTGCCAAGGGGGAAAGATGTTGATTTGGTGTGTATTTGTATTCCCAAATTCAACCATTTTGGACTATTTCCCAGTGGTAAGTCCTCTGAGTGCACTTTTCTGGGCAGAGTTATTGCGTGTCCATTTGATTATGTTTTTATTTTGGGATATTTTGCTGAGCTGAATAAGTGGCACTTACAGGAGCTTAATGTGGTTCAGATCAATCTAAGAATTCTCCCATTCTTAGGGGAGCTGGCAGTTTGCACTGCTGGCAGCCTTCTTTAATGTGCAGATTTTTCCCTCTGATAGTGGTTGCAGCACCTAGAAGGGTTTAAGGAGAGGGAATGGGTTGGATGCTGAATCTCTGTATACCCTATTTATACTGCTTGGAGCCTACCAGAGTTTCCTAACCTAGTGTTTACAATTTCCCATTTATTTAAAAATATTTGTTTGCCAGCCCAATTACACACCTTGGTTGTTTGTGGAGCCCTAGCCCAAACCTTTTGGCCTTCCCTGAAAAACTTCATAGAATTGGCAAAGAAAGAAAGAGTTGAGCAATATTTATAGTAAAATCTGTTGCTACTCCCTAGCTGGGTTTGATCTGTCAGGACAAGCTCCTTCCAGGCTTTGGTAGCATTGCCAGCATCTTTATCAAGTGCTTATGAAGCACTTGCTTGGGGTTCAGTGAGACTGTGTTCTGATCCCATAAAAGCAACATAAAAGCAAAATACTTCATTTGACCGTCCTGTGCTATCGCTGCTATTTTGACTGTGTCTGAGAACACATCTCTTCATGGCAAGTCACTGTTCATGAATCATCAAGAGTGGAGTAAAGGTGGACAAGTAGTCAAAGATTTTATTGCATGATAAATGAAATTATTTGAACTATAGTTCATATTTAGTCCGTGACATGCTCTGACTCATACTCCAGCAGAGTCCTAAGATGTTTGGATTATTAACAGCCATTGCAGCTGGATTTGTAGAGCTTTTATGCCGTGTAAAGACGTCCAGGTCAAACACACTGTTCGAAATGGTGCCGCTTCTGAGGGCGCCGCAGTCCAGGGCCACGTGCCAAGGACAGGAGCTGGGAGAGCAGCTCCTCTCCAAGAACCGCAGGGCTTCCTAATGTCAAGTGTTATGGAGATGCTAATATTCCTGAAAATAAAATTTCATTCGGTGTCTTACCTTGGGCACTCGGGTTTGAAAGTGTCGGCTTTATTTTACCAAGCTGGCATTTTAATTTTTCAAATCACAAATGGATTTCTCTCATGTGCATCATAAATCTCTGGGGCTTTATGGTCCTTTTCCAGAACTCTTATGATTTGGGGGTTTTATGTTGTGACTGTTCTGATTTGAAAGATCTACAAATCACTGATTAAAATGTGAGGGGAACTGTAAAAGTGGTGGTAAATCTGCCTGTTGGATATGACTGATCAGCATAGGGCCCAGAGGAAATAAAAACATCAATTTGGGAATATTTTTATTTGTTTTGGGAGAATCACTGGTACCTTAGCAATTAGTTTTGACAGAACTCTTTCCTTCAGGGATCCTAATAACTGTCTTCTCTCAATACTTGTGCTCCCTGGATATCCAATAAACAAGAGATGTTGGATATCTTGTTTTTAAAAGTTCATAAAACTTTCACAGAAAAAATATAAAGCCACATTTATTGTTAAATTGGGGCCAGATTTACTTCCTTGAAAATGATTGCAAACTTCCTGCTCTCCTCAGCAGGAGAGAGTTATTTTCATGCTAAGTAATCAAGTACTCTTTTAATCAAGGTATCTTAAATGGTAATTGCTCAATCTTAATTATTTGTCAGCAACACATAATTTTTGTTGATATTGTAATATCATTTATTAGCAGAATTAATAACCCAGCTGTTTTGTTCTCTTCCGTACACTTCTAACAGCACTAAGCCCACTGGCATTTGGAGTAAATCAGTATTTTTAGGACCCTGCTCTGCTTACATTCCTGTTGATTCCTTATAGATTCTGACAGTGTAACAAAAAGCAGAATTTTCCCCCTAATGTTAAACTTGTGCAGCTGTAGAGCACTTGTAAGATATTACTAAGGTTCATTCAGTGCTTTGATAAACTTTGGGTTCTAGCATCCTTTAGCTAAAGGCTAAAGAAGCCTTTAGCACCTGTTAACAAGTCTTATATATCTTTGCAGCGTTTATTCAGGACACCAGTCTATTTTGATTCCTCCCTCAGAACTGGAGACCAATCCTGCTCTGTGGCTCCTGGCCGTGAGTCAGTACAAAGTGAGAGACACTTTTTGCTCCTACTCGGTCATGGAGCTTTGTACTAAGGGCCTCGGTTCGCAAACGGAGTCGCTGAAGGTGAGTGACGCTGCGGCCGTGCGCGACGTGCAGCGCCCGAGCACCTCGCGCGCCCGCAGCGAGAGGAAGGCAGCAGCAGGCAAGGGAGCTTCCACCGTGCCCTGCCAAACGCTGTATATTGAATTAGTATCAGCCATCCCCTTTCCAATCACAAGGCTTTTAAGCATCAAGGAAAGGCTTTAATTTACCCAGGCTTTCTGATCTGCGTTGCAGTCTGTGTTGGTAGGCAAATGTTGGAAAATGTAGGTGTAAAAGTGCAAAAGGCCTGAGGATTAGTGTATTTTCCATTGAATTTTATGAATTTCCTTGTTATATGAGGCACTAGTTTGGTTTTGGTCCTTACAGTTAAATAATCACATACTCAGAAGTACTGTATTTCTTTAATGGGGTTGTCCTCTCTGTCTGTGTGTGTGTTTACCACTATTAAAAGCCAGGCAGCAAATTATATTTCTGAAATTTGGAATTTCCAGCATGCTACTGAAATAAATGAGTGCTCAAGCTACTGATGTTTATGTTGTCTCCAGCCCTTACCACCCTCACTTAATAATTTCCAAATCATTTTTTCCCAGGCTAGTTAATGCTTCCTGTTTACCGTTATTCACTGGAGCTGGGAAGCATTACTGGGAAATGGCATTTCTTCCCTTCAGAATTAGCATACACATTTTGTTTTAAATGCTGGCGTGGAAGTGCCAAGCAAATATGTGTGCTCTTCTCGGATATTGGACTATCACCTGGCCATCTGGCTTTCAGGAGAGGTTGAAATTATCCTGGCAGCTCAGCCTCTGTTCTTCTTTGAGGCATAATTCCTAGACATAAGTCTTACTACTAATTTTTTTACCTTTAATTCTACCCCTTTGTGGCATTTGTTACATTTTAACTTCTTTTTAGGCAAGGGGACTGGACCTTTCACGTGTACGGACATGTGTAGTAGTGGCTGAAGAACGACCCCGAATAGCTCTTACTCAGTCATTTTCAAAGTTATTTAAAGACCTTGGGCTCCATCCACGGGCTGTCAGCACATCACTCGGCTGTAGAGTTAACCTGGCTATATGCTTGCAGGTAAGATTTCTCACACCTTAAGCTTGAATAAGCAGTAGTTTTGAGAAGATGGTTCTTAGTAAGAAGCATTCATTGTATTTCATTTGGCTGCTTGGTTTTAAACATAATAAGAAAATGCATGTGGTGCTTAATGTTCTTCTTACATATACAGATAGTAAAATGCTGTTATTTTGTCAGTGAACACTGTTCGTCCCGCATGTTGCATTCATAGCATTTATTCTGCCCATGAATACAGTAATTCAGAAAAGTGCATGGTAGTGACAGAATACATATTATGTGCTCCAAAAACTGTATTTAGTCTTGCAATGTAAAGTTCAGTTTCCAGGTGCTTACTTTAGTGTACTTTAGAGAATGGATTCTTTATGTATACAGAATAATTCTCATCTTTATTTAATTAACTATATAGATGTTTTATGTGTGCAATTTAGAACCTACATAATGAAAATTTATGTTGCAATGTCTTGTGCGTTCATTCTATTTTGTCCCAGTAATCAGAAGAAAGTCCCCAGGGAGAATCTGGGATTTAACTTGAATTCTTTAAAAACCTTTCTTAAATAATTGGTTTTAAGGACAGACTATATAGTCTGAATTTCTGAACAGCCTCTAGATTTTCACCCAATGACAAGAACACTAAGCAAGTAACTTTAGGCTGAACTGCAGTATATAATTTAATCTTTCAGGACTCCAAATGATGAAAATGTACTTGCTTTTTTATAAGATGTTATATTTTAATTAATTTTGCCTTATTTCTAGTTTAAATTTCTCTGGCTTTCGATTCATCCACTTTTTATTTTATTACACTTTTCTAATCTACAGTAAAAATCTCATTTCTGTATGACTCTATATCACATCTTGGTCTTTGTTAAATAGAGGAAGAATTTTAAGATATGCTTTCCTGGCCTATATCTCATTTTTATGACTCCTTCCTGGTCCCTTTCTGCCCTTTCAAATCTGATATCAGAACTATATATACTATTCCCAACATAGTCTGACAGGTGTCTTACTGAGATGTCATTTGATTTCCAACTTATTAATGCTTTTATATGTACAAGAGTCATCTTAGCATGTTGGCCTCTGCATTGGCTTGGAAGAGACACAGCTGTTTGATCTCCTGCTGATTCCCCCACCTCTCCAAACTCAGTTTCCCCACGATATCTTACATTCTGTATGGTACATTCAACATTTAACTCTGGCAGGTAGCCCTGATTTACACTGAGGAATTCTTGATGTGTAAGCAAAAACATACATAATTTTTTAAGTATGGAAGCGAGAAATAGCCTTTCTCAGTGAAACCACAACAAGGCATTTGCTATTCTTTTCCAGATTATCATTTATATAAGGATATTTATTTATTTTAGGAGAGGTACTGTCCAAAAATGTGACATGTATAGGTGATTATTTTAGCACAAACCAATAGATTATGCCTGTCTTATCCCTGTTGAACACCACTGAAGAATCATGGCTAGAAGTGACCTTGATGTTCAGCAGAAACATGAATTAGAATCAGAAAATACTATCAGAAAATGAATACAGGAGCCATGTCACATCACTATTTCTTCTTACCTTCCTTCTGACTATCAATGCAGTATCCCTTCAGCCCAGGGCTAATTAAGCTAATTTATTTTAATTATTGTTATCATACATATGACAAGACAGAGCTTGAACAGGGTTAGAAGTCATTTTCTGTCTCAGAGATAGAGTTATTTTATTTGATGTTTGGTAATTACTGCCATACCTATTCTGCAGGAATAAAAGTTCAAGAAAATTTCTTGTAATCTCAAAAGCAGAACCTGAATCCTTCAGAGCAAGTTCATCTTTAGCCTAATAAATCTTAAGAAATACTCCTGAGAAAATTTTGTCTTTTTAGAGAAACTTCTGTGAACTCAAGCAGCATCTCTCCCATATTTCTGTCATTGACTTCACCTAAAAAAATACTGATTCAAGTTTTGTGATTTCTTCAACTGAGAGGTTTCTGGTGGGAATGCAAGCCTCTTCATTTCTTTTTCCTTATCTGGAGTGATGTGTACTTGAAATCTTTAGGGCCTGCCATTTCACACAGGATGATACAGAAGATACCTGTGTAACCCAACTGGCAATTGAAGGTTGGTGTGCTTCATGGTCAGGAGCTCGGCCAAGGTCAAGGCTCAGCTGGGAGGAGCACAGCAGGCACTGGGCTAGCTGATCACCTGCAACTAGAAGAAAAAATGATGGAGAACCAGTTGGGCTCGCTTTTTGGTAGCTTTTTAAAATTAATTTTTTCCTAAAGCTCCAGCCACTTGAAAGTGCCCACTAATCTCTTACAGAGGAAGGGAAAGACCACGCTTGAGCAGCAAATGCTCTAACTTCTCCAACAGGATGGGGTCCATCAGCTCCCCTGTGAAGCTGAGATGGAGCTTTCTGCATCGTTGCAGGTTTCTCTAAAGAGCAGCTTGAGCCATGGGACATGCTGGAACTGGACAGGAAGGATGCTGAAGAGAACAAGTACAACATCTCTCTCGACTAGGGAAGTTTGCTTGCCACTAATGAAAGTCTCCCTTTCTGGGCAGATTGATTCTGGCTTGCAATGGTCTGCAGTGTTTATAAGTTTCACAGAGAAGTCATTTATTCAGAACAAGCATAAAGTGTGGCAATAGCACTAAACAGCTGTAAGCCAGATCTGATGCTGTGTTAAAATGAGCCCCACTGGAGCAAAGCCAAATACACTTAGAGAATTTGGAAGTCCCAGTTGGTTTGGAGTTTGCCTGGGTTTTTTGTTTGAATATGGGTATATGTCTTATGATTGTGTTAGCTCTTTGTCTGAAATTTGCTTCTTAGGTGGTTGTTTGCACAAGTTTCTTTAAGAGCTTTTGAATCAAACTCTGAAACTGAATCACACGCAAAGGAATATTTATTATAATGGTATTGACTGTGAATTTAAGAATAGCGCAAAATGAGGGCTTTGAGTGAGATAATTTACAATCTGGCTGACAATTTAGCTTAGCGTTCATTTGTGTTTGATGTTCATAACTTCATTTAGTTATACTAGGATTTTGTTTCTTAAACCAATAGACAAATAGCAGTAGATTCTCTAAAGAATGGCTTGGTTGGAATGAAAAAAAAGGCATTTCAGAACAGTCTGAATTTTCTAACATTATCCTTCCAGGTGGGATAGGTTTTGAAGCATCTATGCCAAGGGTAGTTTTAAAGGAGTTTGAAATATTACTGAGGACATTATTCATAAGCATCACTGCAAAACATGTAATTTTGAGACAGAATATAAAGATACAGGCTTACATCCTTTAAAGCATCTGGTACTAGACACTGCCAAAGATGTACTTAATTAGGCTGAAAGCTCTTTCCAAAAAGTCTGGGAGTTTATGGATAGTAATATTCCATCATTGCTTGTGGTCTCTTCTTTTTGTTGGATGGTTGAACAGAATGAATTTTAATCCTTGGTCAACAATGCTAAATTAGCATTGTCTCCAATATATTCCAGAAAAGGTTAATGATTTCTAGATTTTTAACACTGCATAAGAAAATTCTGAAGTGTTTGAATCGATAGCATCTGGCTTTGTATTTGTTCTTCCAGGTAGCATAGTCAAGTGGATCAGGTCCCTACAACACCATCCAGCACAGCAAAAGCTGTAATTCATATAACTCTACATTCTTTCTAAAAGTTATGTCTACTAGTTGTTTTTCTAAACATACCTTGCTATTGCTTTTGCCCCTTACAACAAAAGACCTTTGCAGGTTGCCTTCTATATGGGCAGACTCTAACTCAGCTTGGACATGGTGCTCTTCAATACCATCTTAACATCAGTTCCTTTTTTTTTTTCCTTTTCTTTTTTTTTTTCCAATAAATAAAAATTGAAGTCCTTAAGTGCTTCATGGGGAGAATATGCTGATTTTTCCAAAAAGGTTTTTCTGATCTCCTTCCTTTGACATAGAAGAGGTGTGTATGTGTCCAAACATGTACATACTCATATACATATACACATGTATGTATGTGTGTAAAAACTTCATAGCAGAATTTGACCTTTTATTAAAGTTTACTTTGAAAAGAAATTCATTATGATAATCCCTTTGGTACAGCAGAGCTTTAGCCTACCAAATGAATCATTTCAGATAAGGCTCACTGACAGAGTAATGCGTTATCATTTGTATTCATTTCCTCTCAAATTTAAAGCAAATTTGCTATATTTCTTCTGATGCAGTCACTTTGGACTAGATTTTTAGAGTTACTTTTCTGAAAATAAATAATTATCTTCATCTTTAGGCACTTAAATACCATTACTGTCTGACCTCTTACGGCTGTATAGTCACAGATAATTGTCCAGGAATTTCTGAGATGAAATGATTGCATCCAGCGTATTTTAATTCTCATTAACTAGCATCTCAGCATTCTTAAAAGAGGGAAGAATAAACATGAAAAGAAGCTCTTCTCTGACAAAGGCACAGATGGTTCTCTAGAAAGTAAGCTAATTTCCATTTAAATACTTGAAATAAATATTTTCATTTTTATTCGACCTGCTACTTAATTTCAGTTGAGCAAACACTTGTATGAATTGTTCATTTTCCTTAGTAAACCCTGAAAAATGTACTAGTAGATCTGCCTAGGCTGGAGCAGGAGAGCAGAATTCATCTTTCTCGACTTAACCTCAGTGGCATCTTGTCTCTTAAAAGTGACCTAAGTTATCCAGTATCCATCTACAGTGAGCAGAAGGGAGCAATACTTCCAAGGAGAGCTTCATTCAGCCTCCTCAGGTGTCTATGTGGCGATGGGATTTACCAGCATCTGGCAAATCTTCCTGCCTTTTGAAACACTCCTTTGATGGCCACAGTTGTATGAAATTAATCCTACCCTACTGTTCAGCAAAGCAAGCTTCACTAGTAAATTTAGGAGTAAAACTAGCCCTTCATTTTATTTAGTGACATGTCACACATTTTGAGGACCTTCCATATCCAAAGTAATAAGGGGATTTGCGATTAAGGGCTTGCTCTGAGAAGGGTGCAGTGGGGACTGTGCTCTTCGTCACAACTCTAGACTATGGTTCACATTAACCTATGGAGCACAGCTCTGGGGGAGTTCCTTCAGATTCAGTGTTTATTGCCTTTACGATGAGCCATGCTATGAGGTATGTGCCATTCTTAGGTTTATATCAAAAAGTCCATTTTTGAACATCCATCAAAAGATGCAGAATGGTGAATATTAAGGCCACAGTCTTAGATAGATAGAAAAAAACAGTTCTTAGGACTTCTGATTGCCTAGTTCATGGTTTTTAACATTGAGGAGGGGATTAGGGAAAAGCTTGCAGGTAGACCTTTGCCTTCAGTGGAAATCAGGTGTGAGCTGTGTGGTGATTATCCGTAATTCTAACTTTCTAGGGAGGTCCTTAGCGTGGTTTTGACCTGCAGTGCTCTCCCAGCCCGTGTATGCCTGCATGTTGTGGAGATTGCATGGGCCAGCAATGATTTGCCTTTGGCAGCCTGTGCTGCCAAAGAGATTAGTCGCATAGATAATGACCTATGCTCAACTAGTTTATAGCCAGAAAATGGTCTTTGGAGATTCTCTTTCTTTTATACACTATATAACATGCAGAAAATACTTTCTGTATTGTGTCAAATGCTACGAAAGTTGTGTACTTGTTTGCTGCCAGCATTGCAATGTCTCTGTCTGGCAATGTCATTTTGCACGGGCAAGTTGAACTGGTCACTCAGGCCTGGGTTCAGAGTCTGCCTCTTTCAACACAGTTGGTTCCACAACGCTAAAAGCCATGGCTGGTCCCAGGAAGAGGATGCTGAGACCTGAGCTGTTCTTTCTAGAGCTCTTATTTACAAGCCATACGTGGCTCCGATCCTCTCAAAGCTCTCTCCAGATCTGCAGCATACTCAGCCGTGACGCATTAGTAACTGCTGAATTTTAACAATCCTCATGTTTTGTTGCAGTTACACTGCACTCTTCAACATAGATGTTTCCTCTGCATCTAAAATATACTTCTCCAGAGTCCCCCCTGGGTTAGATATTCTCCAAGGCAGTAGCAGCTTAGTGAGAAAGAGGACAAGTCACTCTTGTCTTTTGTCTCTACACTGCATTATCAAATATGGTGGAGAACTGATGGGGTTTTGTTGGCTTTTAAATTTACTGCTTTGTATACTTATTACACTGTTTATCATGGCAAATAGACTAAGGATGAAGAATTATTGAACTATGAAGTTACTCCATTTAGTTATGGTCTTACAGTAATTAGATTGCGCAAGAAGCTTTGATTTTATTTCACCCTAGGAGCAGATTAATTTGTATGAAAAAAGGTGTAAGTATCTCTGTCTTTCTCCGTTGTCTACTAATATTTTTTTCCTGAAAGATTGCTTACTGATGGCTTCCAGAGGACATCGCTTACAAACCTGTTTTATTAGCAAAACGCAGATCTGTTTCAATGGATGCACATTAAAATAGCAGGGCCATAATGTTTACTGACTTCTTCACAAGAAAAGCAGTATACTGGACACATGTTTTCCACTAACAACATTGTCTGTAGCGTCCTAAAACCATTTAAATCTGTTTGTCCAAGGTTAGCAGTCTATAGCTGTCTCTTCTGTTGCTCTACTAAAATGTTGACACCTCATTTTTTTACTTTTTTTAACCTTTAATGGTATAATGGTTAATTTGTAAGATTCCTGTATTTGACATTGTTTTTCTTTTTATTTTACTCCCTGCTTTTTGCATTCTCCTCTTTTTTTCTCCCACCCTTCATTCCCATTTTTTATTATTATTTTTGTCTTGTGTTACCTTCTTTCCTTCTCTCCCTCATCCCTGCTATTTCTGCTGCTATAGCCTCACAGGCTGGGGAAGCTGGCCGAGCAGGTAGGGGATTTTCATGTTCCCTCAATACCCACCTATCAGCTTCCAACAGTGGGACAGACTAGAAATTGAGTCTGGAGATTTGGGGATTTTCAGATCCTTCTTTAAAACACCAACAAGTTTAATATAGCCTTACCTGGATGCAGGTTTCATCAAATATTAGCTGTCTGTTTTAACTGTTTCATTCACAGTGAAAATAACAAATGCCATCATGATTGTCTTTGATTTTCAAACTTGACTGTGTCCATTATTTTATAAATCAATTCAGGTTTAGTTCTATTTTTTAAAGATAACCAATTTTTTTCTTGTCTTTTTCCTTTTTTTTTAACATTGCATACATTTGAAATACTTTCTCCACTCAGCACTAGTCTGTTACACTGCTGAGTATATTAGTAGACTGAAAGTTGTGTTGTTAATAGCTAGAGAGGTTATTGTATCTTGTACTGTGTATGACAAGCTAAAGAGGCTAACATGCATGTGCAGCTCTATTACTCCTTTCTCCTCTGGTGGTGGGTCACCCTCAGTGTTTGTACAGTAAGTATAAAATGCTAGGAGCAGCTCTTTCCCCCTTTAGGTTCCAAAATTTTGTATTTGTGGAACTTTATTACAATTTTCTGTGCTGAGCAAATTGTGGAACTGCCAGCAAGCATTGCAGAAAGACAAAATTTAGGCCTAGACAAATCTAAAGTTAAAAGTTGTGCTACACAATATAATTCAAGCAGGAGAGACGTTGTCTGATGTTTTATTTAGTAAAAAGCTAGATAACTGATAAAGAAATTCCTGCAGCTGTAGGTTCCCAAGGTTAGGTGAGCTTATCTTCTGGGAAGATAATTTCCAAACTTCTGATGTTCCCAAGTGCAGTTGTGGTTCTTTTTCTAGCATTTGTTTATTAGTGAAATGATGTATGCAGGAAAGAGCCCTATCCCAGGGCATTGGAAATAGCGATGATGTTCACAAGGTGTTGAGTTGAAAGTCTTGGAAAAGGGACATTGCAGACTACAAACTGCAGCAAAACTGTGGGTGGAGAGGCCTGGAGGACTAACTGGGTGAAAGAAAACGATAAAATTATCCTATTGTTGTTCAAGTAACTCAAGATTGTGACTTAAAATAAGGATATAACTATGCAGTGGAAGACTGAAAGGGAACAGAGTAATTGCCTATAGATCTTCAGTCCCCTTTGGTCATGTCATGCGTGCTACCTTTAATATCTTTAGCTTCAAATGTATTCTCTGTTGCATGTGTAGAAGATTCTCAGTAAATCATGCTTCACATTCCTGACCATGTGCTTCTGCCATTAAACTGTGTCTCAGCAATTTCTGCATTCCTTTTTATGGCAAAATGTTTAACATGTTTATATGTATCCATGTGCTGAGTACTTGGCCTTCTGTAGCAAGTAAAACCTGTGTTGACATTTGTTTGGTTAAGTGGTATGGCCGCTTGATGTTTTTACAAACCACAAAGTAGCAGCTCCCTCACGGTAGGTACGTGCTGTGGTGCTCTTGGTATGGTAAAGCTGAGCTTTGGTTGATAATAGCTGAAATATAAATTGTCATTTTGTTAGCTTAAATAGCAGTGAAATGAACGTTCGGTAATTTGAGGGGTAAAAGAAGAAAGGAAAAAGTAAAAACGCTTTCTTCCTCCTAGCCTTCAAGTTTTGATTAGTTGATGTTGTTGTTTACAGGGAACGTCTGGACCGGACCCAACCACAGTGTATGTTGATATGAGGGCGCTGAGGCACGACAGGTTGGGACCACCTTTTTCTTTGTTCTATAGTACACATATTTAATGGAGTTTCTAGCAAAAAAAAAAAAGCTTCTTAATCACACCTCACGTTCCTGCAGAACAGTGCTAATCCTCCTAAATAGTTTATGCCAGCTCCTACCAGCGACCAGGAATAGGTACTTATGTTAACTGTTTAATTAATTAATTTTAATGGTCTTAACACTGAGGCATCTGACATGGGTGCTGTGATAACTAATCACATCACACAGAATCACAGAAGGGTCAAGGTTGGAAAGGAACTCTGGAGATCATCTAGTCCAACCATCAAATAATGCCCTGCTTTTAATGTGCTCCAGGTTTTCTGATAATCAATTCAGGTAGTGCAGCCTACCCTTTCCCTATGAAACTAAATCCTATTGGGCCAGGACTTTGCAGTGTGTTTTCTGCTTGGTCAGGAATTAACCAGAGGAGAGACCCCAGGGTGATTTTGCTGTAAATCTTAATGCTGTCAGACTATGAGGCAGTGGCTAATTGAGCTCAGCCATTGTGAGCAACCCCACTCCATAACTTTTTTCTTTTTAATCTTTAAAGTTAGAAGTGTATGCAAGAAATGGGAACTACAATTTACCACCAGTCCTAGTAGGGAGAGCTCTGAAATTTTCTGCGTGGAAGGGAACTTGTAATTTTATGTCTAATTTTAGAAAATACCCACGCACATATGAACATATATTTCATTTTTCTGGTGTTACACTCAGAAGACTAGCAGAGAGACTTCTTTGTAACATTTTCTTTTAATAAAGTTCTATTAACTCTGAAAAAGTGATAGTTCATCAAGTGTTCATCAGTACCTTCAAGATCTTTATCCAAATTGGGCTTTCTTTTGTTTCGTTATTCTTTTTCCTTTTGTAACAGCAGAGATCTTTTTCCCTCGGGTGAGTGTGAACTCTGGCTCTGCCTAAGTGCCTGGATCAGCTTGCAGGGTGGAAACCCCAGGGCAGTGCAGGCCCGAGCTGCCACTCTGAATATCCCCAACCTTCATAAATCCAAGCAAGAGTACAGGCTTGTCACCACACACCATGGCTGCAGCTTGGATTTCAACCTGAGCACGAGCTGTTCATCCTAGACGGTGCAGACTGGCTCCCCGGCCTGTCACAGTGTCAGCCCGCAGAGAGACAGGGATGTGTCCTGCACGTGCTGGGACACCTGGGTCTGCCTTCTGATGGACACACAGGGAGTTTCAGGGTGTCATCCACCTGAGCTCCAAGTGTGCAGCTTAGGGCAAGTCTGACTGAACTCGCATGTGGTTACTTCTTTCCATTAACTATGGCGTGGGCATGGCATCTTTCAGTGAGATCTACATACAGGTATC